CTAACAGCGCATTTGTTGCAGAATGAATACGTGCTGCCATAAAAGTTCTGATGTTTTTTTAGTTCGAAAAGTTTTAAAAGAATAAAAATAAGATATTTAACAGCAACAACAAAAAAAGCGGTAAAAAATTAACCGCTTTTTTATGCAGTGACAGCGCAGGCGTGCCTCAAATTTCAAGTGATTTTTAAATGAATTCTGTTAAAATACTTAAAATGCGCAGAATTTTATTGAAAGAATGAATTGCAAGCAATTTTTAACTTTTTCAAAAGTCTTGAAACAAAGGAACTCAAATTAAAGATCGTTGACATTTAAGTCTACACAATGTCTTTCAAAAATAACAATTTTCAAACCTAATTTTTGGTTGACGCAATTGTTATAAAAATTACCGAAAAATAGGTGTGCACAAATTAAGTCTTTTTTATTGCATAAAATTAAATAAAAATAACACTCTAAAAAAAAGCTTTATTGGAATTTAAATAATATTGTTTTTCACTCTATTTTTTTCTTTCAGCCGTAAATTAAGGGCCACAAACATGAAAAAGGCCAAACGATGGCTTCTACCGATAGCAGGTGAGTTGCTTTAAAATAAATTAACAATTGTTCAGTTGTTAATTTAGGTATTCAATTGTGTTCAATTGTTCTTAGTTGATTTGAACTTAAGCACAAATTAAAATATATTAGAATATTTATTCCCAATTCTAATTTTTAGTTTCTAAAAATTACGAGTATCTGTCTAATAAATTAGAATTAGACTCTAGAATCTAATGTTAGAATCTAAGATCTTTTGGACTACAAACCCCATTTCAAATTACAAAGGTTTTTGAGGTCAACCTCATAAAATAATTAATTTTCAATCAATGATCAAAACTATTGAATCATATCTTCCCGTGTATACTCTAAACTTCTTTTTAAGGCTTTCAAAACCAATATCAATTTAATCTAAGTTAGGTTAGATTAATCAGTCCGGTCATAAGCCATACATAGATCATTGAAACTCTAGCAACATCAAATGAAGAAAGACCTTTATGTAAATTTGTAGTAGGCATTATGTAGAATGTCGACGACATTAGTTAGGATATTGTTAATCTATGTCATAAGCCATATATAGATCTTTAAGACTCTAACAACATCAAATGAGCAAAGACCTTTGCGTAAAGTAGGTATTTAAGGAGTAATCTTAAATTCAGAACAAACGTCGACCTACTACATAATAACATACATAATACTACAAACCTACTGCTACTACCTACTACTTTTTGTAAAGGCGTTGCTACAGTCTAAAAGATTTATGTATGTCATAAGCTATACATCGATCTTTTAGACTGTAGCAACATCAGATGAAGAAACGCCTTTACATAAACTAATAGACAGTTGCAGTAGTTTTATGTATGATGTCGACACTTGTTGTGAATCTAAAAAGTAATTGAAATTCCTTTTTAGAGACATACAACATCTTCTCAAAGTATATAGCCCTTAACCATTTTAATAATATGCGCGACTTAAACAAAAAAAAAATGTCACAGGCTCTTTTTTCTCCAGCTGTTTTGCATTCCCCGTATTTATCACTATTGATAATTTCCATCTTATATGTGTAGGATAGGTTAGGTTATACCGGCGATCACTAGTGGAACCACTTAGGGTCATTGGCCCATTGTGTTACCGTATGTATAGGAAAACTCAGGGTTTAAAACCACCTAGAACCTTAGACGAAGCTCAAATGCTGTTTACTGTCAGGTCTTGTAATTGATCAAGATACTCAATAAAGAGGGCTCTTAAAGTGTTGAGTCGCCATCGTGCATGAACTAGGCAAAGACAGAGTAGATGCGAGGTATTCTCAACGTCTTCCGCACAACTGCAACAATACTTTATTGTTGCTTTATTATTATTGGCATTTATTAATATCAGACCAACCAAAATTTTAAATGACAAAAATAAATGCCTAATCCGTGCTAACCACTAACAAGTGGTAGCTACTTCTGGTACTATCAAATCTACCAACAATAAACTTGCAAGTGTGAAGACGTGTAGTATTATTGTGTTGTTCGTCTCTAAATTGAATACGCAAAGTCACTACAGAAATTGATAGTGATAAACTCTGAAGAAAGATACATTAGAATCGAGTAGCAACTTTTCTTAATTTAACTAAAGATGGTCTCCACTTACTTACGTCAACCATTATATCATTGTTTGTTTGGCACTCAGTGGCATTTACAGAGACTCACGGAAGGATGACTCTTTGAAAACTAATACAAAGTTCATATGAAGTTCATGTGATCTATTATATCTAGTGTAAAATATTTTAGAAGAGTTTGAACCCCAAAACCGGCCTTCCATACGTCACTTATTATTATTATAAGAAACGATAATAGTAGTGTACGGTGATCTATACGACTTGTTATCTGTTTAGGGGTGTTTGAATGCATAGATTCTATTATATCTAGGGTAAAATATTTCAACATATTTGGTAGAAATTTGAACCCCAAAACCGATCGTTTATACGCCATTTATTATTATTATAAGAAACGATAATAGTAGTGTACGGTGATCTATAAGACTTATTATCCGTTTAGAGGGGTTCCTTTCCTTATATATGGAATTGATTATTATTATTAGAAAGGAAAATGCTGCACTGCTGCCTATAAGACTTATTGCGCTAAAGGTTCTGATGCTACTGTTTGGATCTCTTTGAAAAATAAATTTAGTTTTTAGAAGATTTCTATTTTGTGATAGAATAATAAAAATATTTAAGTAATTAATTAAAATCTTAAATGATTGCTATTTTAAAAAAATAATCAAACTTTAATATTAGTTAATTAGTTCATACAGTTTTTTAATTGTTAACTAAATATTTGAAAATAATATCTAAATAGCCAGTTATCTATTTTCGAATAGAAAAATCGTTTATTATGAAGAATAATTTGGATTTATATAAATTTATTCAGTGATTGGTATTGGCCCGCGATTGCATTTGGTCTGAACAGCCCTGATCTATATTATCTTTTTAAAAAGTTGTTGTTGTTTTGGAATCCATCTTTTTATAAATTCTATCAAATGATTCGTGTGATATCCAGGTATTATCATTACTTAAATTATCAATTATATTATTAGTCCGATCTGTTAAATTAAAGCTGAAGTATTCAATTTATTTTTTTTTTTAAATTGTATTAAATATTTTCTGCAAACATAATGAAATATGTCTACTTCTATTAACCTTGAATACGGCGATTTAATTAATTTTTTTTGTTTAATTTAAATAAATTATTGGAACCCATAAAAAATTTCTATTTATTTTATGAAAATCAATTAATATTATTTTTTATTTGTTATTAAACTTTTTTTCTTACAGCTTTGTTGGCGGTGTTAGTCACAGAAACCGACGCAGTGGCACCGTTTAAAAAGGTTTCCATTGGTACAACAACAACAACGACATCGACTACGACTACAACCACAACAGAAGCGCCAGCAATTGAAAGTGATGATGGAAAGGTAATTAATAATTTTTTAAATGTAAAGTAAATAATGACTTTATCAGCATTTTTATAAAAATGTGTAAATTTTTAAACTGTATAAGTATAATATAATAATGAATAATAATATAATAATAATGAGAACTTCATTTAAAAATAATGAGAAGACAATTCAGTAGGCAAAGACCAGAACCGAGTATAGTCTATAATCATTACTATTAACCGTGAAATTTAAAAATTTTTAATTAACATGTATGCAGATCTTAGATTAGTCGTTGAATAATCACGAAGCTTATGAGAATTACATAAATTAGTCAGTGAGATGGGTGGGACTCTGCAGAAACTCCCCAGCTATCAAAGTGTAAAAATGCCCAGATGCACTAATTTGGAGAAGGCTCAACATTAGACATTAGACTTTAATATAAATTTAAAATAAATATATCCAAGTAATAATTACAAGAAAAAAATTACTATTCAATATTACTAAAATATTACTAAATTAAATCGTTTTTTTGGATGTACAGTTATTATAAAAAGTAAATTAAAATTTAATAATATCAATATATCAATATTACTGAAATAAATTGTTTTTTGTATGTACACTTATTATAAAAAATAAATTAAAATTTAATAATATCAATATTTTAAATATAAATAATTTTCTTAAAATATTCTTCTTTACATATATAGGGCAGTTTAGGCCAACAAATGCTTTCTTAAGTACTCGAACATTTACAATTACTTTTACTATGTAACAATTAATATATATATATAACATAAATTCCCAATTTGTATTAAAACTTGTTCCATTTACTTACTTAACCTAATACGGTGAAGTACTTAAATGGCTCAGCGAAGTAACTCATTCATATACCTATCCGTATTAACGAGAGGCGAAAGTAACTATAAAATTACTTAAAAAATTCTGGTCACGAAGTTTCGAGAATGTACAGAACAAAATAGACTTAAGTTGATGTGTCATGTGTCAACGACTTTTACACTTTTCATTTATTTAAATATATTACTGAAATTATATAAATTCTTTAACTAATAATTATATTAATTAATGTCAATTTCCATTAAGAACAGTATTTTAATTTTTATTATAATTTTACTTTCAGGCCAACAATTCATCAACACCAACCAAGAATTCAAAACTGACGGGAATACCACAAATTGATTACATATGGGATCCAAATTTACCACGTGAATTAAGAGGGTAAGATTTATATTTAATAATCACTATATTCTATTGCTTAAAATAATATAATAATAATACAAAATTTGGGCACTAAAATTTAACAGATCGAAAATAAATCGAGATCGAAGCCAGATTTACCAATTCTAATTTTAATCAATTAAAATCGTTCATTATTGCTTCTTCTTCTTTATTTGCCAATGTGATTTCGAATATTGGTGATCATATAACGTAACATAATACTATATTGTTTAATTCGCTTTTGTTAAACACAATTACAAATTTTTTACTATTTCTGCGTATTGCTCTCTGCATCTAGCTACATTTATAAGGCTGCCAACCTCTTGTTTTTGGGTCCAAAGCCATGAAAATTGTTTCCTATCAATATCGCGTTTGCCTTCGATTTTTCCCTGAATAATCATTTGAAGTAGCTCATATTTTAAATTTCTCATAATATGTCCTAGCTAGCCTACCTAGTTTTTCTTCTTTTTATAGTTATTAACAATTCGCTAGCACATCTCATTTTTCGTAATACTTCATTATTTGCAACATGATCTGTCCATGGAATTTTGAGATTTCTCCGAAAAATCCATAACTCAAATGCTTCGAGATTGTTAATATCAGCAATTTTTAAGTCCCGATTTCCATAGCGTATAGAAATATAGACCAGACATAGCATTTTACAAAAGGGATTTTAGTTTTAATATTGAGATCATGACTGTTAAAAACTTTTTTGTATCTAAGAAAAGTGTTACCTGCTATTTCTATTCGGCATTTGATCTTGTTGGAACAATTCCAATTTTCATTTATATATCATCCAAGATATTTAAAATGTTGTACTCTTTCATTACTGCTTACGGTAAAAACTAAAAGCAAATGAGATAAATTAATTTTTGAATAATGATCGAATTTAGACTCCAATTTTTGATTTTGATAATATTACAGTTTCTAGATCTGGGAATGTAGTTGAATATTCATCTGAAGTAGAGACTATACACTATGCTTAAAGAAAGTTTTTCGAACATAAAATGCTTAGTTATTGTTCCAACAATCTTTAATTCATTGAAGAACAAATAGTTTCTTTATAAATGCTGTGACTAATCTTCAATATCCTATCTACCCGTGTTTGATTACAAATCAGAAATACAAATCTTACTTTCATTAGTTATTATGTTTTTTCGCTAAATTATTAGTTTATTAAAGGTTTAGTCAGTAGCGTCGCTAGGCGTCAGCGATGTCGGCCTCGCGTCCACTGGGTTCTCGCAGAAAATTACAGGATTCCGACTGTGGATTCTAAGCACTTAATAAATATTTTGAACAATTTGGTTCACCATATTCGAAGTATTCCCGAATGTTTATATAGTAACTAGATTCATGTTCACAGTTCCAGTCAGTATAGCTTCGACGGAAAGAAGCTTCTCAAAGTTAAAATTGATTAAGACGTACTAGAAAAGTATGATGATCCAAGAGAGACTATCTCCATTGGAAATTTTATAAACTGAACCAAAAATAGCAGGTGGCGCAAATTATGATTTAATTGAAAAAAAAATTAAGTGAGGCTAAAAGTAGGAAAATTGATTTATTTTAA